GTTTCGCTGGGCGTGCCCTGGGGATAAACAAACCTATCGCTGGAGTATTTTCCCTTTCCCAAAAGAGAACTCAGGTGTAACCGCGCTCCTCACGCAGAAGCCGACAGAACTTTAACTTGCAGCCCAGAACCCCTCTGCATGCTGGGCTGCATCCCCAGAGCGTGAGCAGCAGCTACATTGGCCAGAAGTTAGGCATCCTTGTTTATAACTACAGGGGAAGAAGCGGAGCAAAGAAAGTATGTTGCTGACCAGACAGTGGGTGGGTGAAGGGGGAAGTATGCTACAACATCTGAACAGATACTCATAGAATGAGAGAATGGTGTGGATTGGAAGATAGGCTGGCTTGTTCAGCCTGGAGAAGACTCCTTAAGGGGAGACCTTAGAGCAGCTTCCACTACCTAAAGGGGCTACAGGAAACCTGGAGAGGGGCCTGTAGGGACAGGACAAGGGAGAATGGCTTTAACCTGCCAGAGGGGGGAGATCGAGATGAGATTTTAGGCAGAAGCTCTTCCTTGGAGGGTGGTGAGACACTGGCACAGGTTGCCCAGAGAAGCTGTGGCTGCCCCATCCCTGGCAGTGTTCAAGGCCAGGTTGGATGGGGCTTGTAGCAACCAGGTCTAGTGGAAGGTGTCCCTGCCCATGGCAGGGGGTTGGATCTAGATGAGCTTTAAGTCCTTTCCAACCCAAACCAGGCTGGGATTCTGTGATTCTGTACCTCCCTTCCTCAGCCCCACAGAAACCACCTCGTGCCCATCTGGTGCACCACAACGTCATGTTTATTGAGACGAAGTTCCTCCACTTTCCGCACATATAAAATACATTTTAAAATGTCTGTAAACAGTGAGGGGAGTGGTAAGGCAAGCAGAGAAACAGCCACAGCACCTTCGTACCCCCCTGCCCTCAGCCACACGGACCTCTCAGGAGGACTGAGGAGACCATTGGTTCCCGGGGTGACAACCCAAGTTGTGGCACTCTGTGTCTGCCTCCACTTCAGCCATGGGAGTGAAAGCCAGAGCCACAGAACCCACCAGGTAACAAATGCCACTCCATCTTGACAGAGGATGGGCACTGAAAGACACCTCTATGTTGGCATCTGCTGCTGGGCTACATGGGAGGTGGCACTCTGCTCTCCATGACCAGGAGGAATGATCTGCAGGTGGGGTAGACAACCTCTTACTTTGCCATCCGGAGGGACTTGGTCAGGCTGGAGAGGTGGGACAGTGCAAACTTCATGGAGTTCAACAAGGCCAAGTGCAAGGTCCTGCACCTGAGTCGGGGCAGTTCCAAGCACAAACATATGCTGAGGGAGACTGGATTGAGAGCAGCCCTGAGGAGAAGGACTTGGGGGTGTTGGGTGACAAGAAGTTCACAGTCTTCACAGCATCCCTCAAACATTCATGCTGTGCTTGGGGCTTTTGTTCCTCCTTCTCCAAGAAGGTGCCAAGCCAGGTTTTGCACAAAGCTGGGCTGGACCCTCATCACAGATGCAGCAATAGATACACATGATTTCCTCTCTCTCCCAGGGTTTAGGAAGCCAAACAAGGAATAAGGAAACTTAAAGACTGAAAAAGAATGGTTTGCCATTGAGGTTTAACTCCCCCAGCTGAATCTTCAGATGGAGGAACTGCTCAACTCACCAAAAGCAGAAGTGAAACTATCATCCAGACAGGCAACAGAGGGACAGGCCAAAGCAACACCAGCCAGAGAGTGTAAACCACCAAGGAAACAATATAAAATAGATCAATACTGACTGCTTTATCCCCAAAGCATCCCTTAAAACCTACACATGGCCCAGCTCCATTCCCTGGACACCTCCTGGAAGAACAGGATTGGAAATTTAGCGAAGAGCTTTTGCTCTTGCATAGTGTCTTTTATAGGTCCATAAAGCAACAGCACCTTCTCCAGCAACTGAGCAACCCCTGGCAAGGAGTACATTGCACTGTCATGTCTGGGATAGTCCTGATCCTCCCAGAATGATTCAAGCTGAAGGCAACATCCCACGTCGTAACAGAAAGTGCAGCCCAGGTGGAGAGAGATGTAAGAGTAAGGGCAGTAGATGGGCAAGGTGGCCACAGGAAAGCAGAGTTCAAACCAATCACTGACACAAAAGAGGACTACCGGGGTGATGCTTTGTCTGATAAACATGGTTACTAGTTGCCTTTATGCAAGACACACAGTCTCCCTCCAGTGTTGGGAGAAGGAGTTGAAGCTGTGGAGAGGAGCTTCCCCAACACAGGATACATGGAGGAGACCAGCATGCCTTGGCAAACCCAAACCATGACCCTTTAGTGGTGTCTAAGGTAGTGATGTCTACCCCGGAAGGGCAGAAAGGGCTTGACCTGGACACCAGGGAGTCAGGACTGAGAGGAGGAGTCTGACAGCCTGGTGTGTTAAGACGACAAGATGCAAACCACCACAGGACTCTCTCAGCCAAACCTCAGATTACAATGTTTGTCTTAGATTTTCCCAACATGCCAAACGGTTTTCTTCCAATTTCCCTTTGGTGTTAGCAGCAGCATTGTGGTTCAACCTGGAGGAGAAGTCAGGCTGTGAGATCCACAAAGATGGCATTGGCAGTGGTCTGTCCAAAGATGAATGCTCCAAGGGTGACCATGAACACCCCATAGCTGACCTGGGCCCACCAGCTGTGGACACAGGAGGACAGGCCTTGTTTAGAGGGGACCTTCATCCCAATATCCAAGCAGGAAGATGGGAGAGAGGAAGCATGTTTTGTTTACCTGATTGCCCTGGTTTCTTGGATCTCAGAGAGCTTGGCTTGAATCAAGCAGAGCCCTGAAAGGCAAGGGAGTCAAATCAGACCCAGCTGAAGACTGAGCAGACACCCCATAAGCCAGAGAGCCACACTGTCCATTACAAAGCAGACACTTCAGTCAAAATATTTGGGCTGCCAACCGACCTGACACCACAGTTGTGTCTTTCTCTAAAGACCTCCTGGTTCCTCTGTCTCCATCCTGCTCCCTCCCTCCTCAAGACACAAGGCCAAAAGACCTGTGCTGGCCCCATAACATCCCAGGATGCCCTACCTGGGAAGACAAAAATGAAGCAGGCAGCCAAGCCCCCAATGACAGAGATGACTTTGCCAATGTCGGGGATGAAGAGAGCCAAGAGGAGCGTCAGGAGGAACCAGCTGATGGTCTGAAGCAGGCGCCTCCTCTGTTCCCGAACCACGTCCTCCTCGACCGTTACACCCGTGTAGCGGAGCCAGAGACCCTCCAAGACAGCCCTGTGGGCATAGACCCATGGCAGGGGGGTTCTCCATGCTGCCCTTCCTGCCCACACCAGCTGCTTTCCTTCTCCCAGCACTCACCGGCCGCAGAAGTGCAGGATTGGGTAGGACGTCAGCACACAGAGGATGATGAAGGCCCGGGCGAGGGCAACGGGGATGTCATTGGACGGATAGGACATCAAGACATCCTGCTCCACACTGGTTCCAAAGGTCAGGAAGCCACAGACACCTGATGGGAACGGAGCAGTCAGCAGGGGACGGGGACAAGCCTCCTGCATGTACATTTGAAGGACCAGACTTGGACGAATATGGAACAGGGCATATTGCAGGGAGAAGTAGGTGGACTCCCCTTCATTTCTGCTTTGTCCCTCTGCTGACCAAAGGGTCATGGAATCACAGAGTGGTTTGGGTTGGAAGAGAGCTTAAAGTTCATCCAGTTCCAGCCCTCTGCCACAGGCAGGGACACCTTCTCCTCCAACACGCTGCTCCCTCCAAGCTGGTCTTGAACACTGCCAGGGATGGGGCAGCCACAGCTGCTCTGTGCAACCGGTGCCAGTGCCTCAGCACCCTCACAGGGAAGAACTTCTGCCTAAGATCTCATCTCAATCTCCCTGCTCTCCAGAAGCTCACAGCCCCTCCGAAGACACATTCACAGAGCACCCCCTTGCTTACCAGTGCCCATGTAGACGAAGAGGGCAATCACCATGGCTGCCGTCACCACTGCCCCCCAGGTCTTTACCTCTGGTTGCTTCATGCTGTTAAAGACGGGCACGCTGCTCACGTGGCACTGCCGGGGGCACAGAGAGAGAGTGGGGACATGGGCTGAGCCGGAGTCATGGAAGCCATGTGGGATCCCACTTGTGATCCCCCAGATTTGTCATGGTGAATCCCCCACCCAGACAGCCATGGGGTGGGAAGGGGAGCACCAGGCTTGTGGCCTTACCTGGAACCCAAAGCAGATGGTGGGCATGGCATTGAAGACAGCAGTCCAAGTGGAGGGGCTGGTGGGAGAGAAACACCCACTGGTCAGACCAGGGCCTGCCAGTGCCCTGGGGTAGGATCATAGAGTCACAGAATCAACCAGGTTGGAAAAGACCTTTAAGATCACCAAGTCCAACTGTTCCCCAGCACTGCCAAGGCCACCACTGAACCATGTCAGCAATGGCCTCGCCTACATGGTTTGTGAAGACTTCCAGGGATGGTGACTCCACCAATGTTCTGGGCAGCCTATTCCAATGCCTGAACACCCTTGCGGGGAGAAATTGTTCCTAATGTCCATTCTAAACTTTCCCTGCCACAGCTCAGTCTAAACTTTCCCTGGCACAGCTTTAGGCCATTACCTCTTGTTCCTTGGGAGCAAAGACCAGCCACCTCCTGGCTCCATTCTCCTGTCAGGTAATTGTAGAGAGTGACAAGGTACCCCCTGAGCCTTTTCTTCACTGGGGTGCTCAGTAACAGGCTCACTCCTCTGCTGTTACCGTGTCACCCCCTGCCAGGATGACACCTTTACACAGAGCAAGGTTTTCTGCAACCTGGCACTCCCTGCAGACCAGGGCCTTCCAGTGAGACAGAACCAGCAAAAATTGAGGACTCACAACAATAAAAGTATCACTAAATAAATAAGGATCTATTTAAGCAGTGCCAAGAACTGTTCTGAACTTTGCCAGCCCTAAAATTCCCACTGCCCACACTGGGTCCAGAAATACCCCCACACCAGGAAGGAGGGGACAAGCCACAGTGGCTGTGGTGGCCAACCGAATAACCAAAATCATTCTAAAATAGGCACAACCCTTGTTGCTGGACACAAGCACTGCGCAGGAGACTCTGGGCCCAGCTGTACTGGAGCTACAAGTCAATTTGTGCTCCTCAAAATCTGTGATGGAGATCTCCAAAGCTCGAAGAGGATTCTTCCCTCTCCATCACCTCCTCTGAAGCACACAGTGATGCAGCCACTTGGGAGCTTCTGGCAGCAATGTGCAGCATCCCCAGGTGAAGGGATGGGACCCGTGAAGGACTTGCCGCCAGCCTCTGCAGCTCTCGCTCCTGCACCCCTGCCTGGCTCTGCAGTGCTGTAATGGCCACTGTCACCATCATGTCTCTTGTGCTCACCTGGTGGGGATCTCCACAGGCACCAGCTCCTTGTCGGGCCAGATGCACTTGATGATAATGACTGCTGTGACATACCAGGTGCCAATCACACTTAGGGAGCTGTGAGAGGGGACAGGAGGCCATCAGCATGCTCCCTCCCTGCTCCATGGAGGGTGTCCTCCCAGCATCTCCAGTCTCATCCTCCTCCCTGCACAGCCACCCCAGCCCTCCCATCAGCACCAGCCCTGGTCTCCCTTTCCATGGGAATATGCCAGGCACTGTCACCCCTGTCCCCAGAGCAGATGCTCATGCAACCCCACTGTGCTGGGAAGAGCAGACCTGCCAGCAAGGGGATGGGCTTGCTGGGTTTTGGGCAGAAGAAAGAGGTGAGTGTTAAAGAAGTGACACTTCTCAGTAGTCCTGGTCCAGCTCCAGCAGCCAGGTTACACCGAGATGCTTGGTGGGGCAGGGCTGGCCTGCAGACTCCCAGCCTGGGGACCCTTACTGGCTCTACTTTCTGCTGGATAGCCACCTCCAAAGACAGGGCATAACGCAGCTGAAAGCAGCTCCTGCTGCTTCCTACAGCAAGCAGAAGGGAGGGACACAATGCCCAGAGTATGACAGTGTGGCCACACGGTGCTCAGCAGCTTCCATGCTTCCCAGACGGGGAAACCGAGGCACAGGAATGTGGAGGAGAAGACGTCTAACCCCTCAGTGGCTTGTGGCAGGCAGATACAGCACTAGAACCATGTTTCCACTCCCCATCCCGTGGGATGGTGCTTAGGTGGATGTTGGCTGCCGCCTGTCCCAGAGGGCTATCCCCACCCACCTGGCATATTTTTGGAAGCCGATCTCCTTGGGGATGGAGAGGGGCAGGATGAGGAGGAAGGCCGTGATGCTAATGGTGAACTTGCGGTCCATGTACCAGCGGCTGCTCCCAGCTTCCTCGGGCTCTGTCACCAGAGCAGCAATGACTGTGGAGACAACTGGAGCAGTCAAGTTGTCCCCTTCCAGCTGAAGAGACAGCAAGTGGTTGGGTTTGTTCCCCCATGGGACACACTTACTCTTGTCCTCCTGGTCTCCAATGATGATGAGGAAAGCGATGCAGGTGCCAAAGGTGTAGATGGCGATGGCCACCTCACACAGCACACCGGGCACCTTCCCGCAGACGGCCCACACCACCTCCTGGTAGGTGCGCTCGTTGCTAGCCTGAGAGCAGTATGCCAGGATGACCAAGCCTCCGATGATGAAGATCAACATGCACTGCAGTGGGGAAGAGACAAGGAGGGGACACAGAGGCAACAGTGTGACAAGGTCGCCAAAGCCACCCCAGGCAGCCACCCCCAAACACATTGAGCATCTTCAGTGCATATCACCCAACAGCTCTTCTTCCCAGGAGCCAGGCCCTGCCCAAGTCCCTTCTGGGGCTCCACATGTCACCCCATGGCCCCTCCCAGGGTGGGAGAGGGGACTGCCCCTTCCCCACCTCTCACCATCTGCAGTGTAATGCCTGCTGCCACGCCGCCAGCCATGCTGAAGGCAGCAGGGAAGTTGAGAAGCCCAGCCCCAAGGGCAGCGTTGACCACAATGAAGACAGCTCCCAAAGCTGATGTGGCCCCCAGACCATTCCCTTGGCTCTCTCCACTCTTTGGCACTGTCTCCACGCTGGGGCTCTGCAGGAGCCTGGCCCGTTCCCCGGCACCGGCGCTCCACTCCCAATCCTTGTAGTCACTGTTGATGCTCCTGCTACCCTGAGCCATTGTCCCTCCCCGGGTGGCACACACACCACTGTCCACGTCCCACTAGTGCTCCTGTACCAGCCTTGACTGGCTGCCTTGAGGAGGGTCCTGTGCCAGTGCTGGCTCCATCAGGCGGGGAAGGCAGCAAAAGGGCAGGCTGGTACAGCAGCAGTATGAGGTGCTTCACTGCTCCTAGAAGCAAAGGAAAAGGACATGGTAAGTGTTAAGGTACGTTAACAAGAGACAACCTGAGCACCAGGTGCACATTGGAAATTAATTCCCTGGGTCTCAGCTCGGTTTCACAGCACGCATGTGTCCTCACATCAGCAGAGATACAGCAGAACTCACCTCTCATTCCCTGAATGCAGGGTGAGGACACCGCTGCCATCAGATGGCAGGGGGACTGAGCTGTGGCCATGGGCCTGAGGAGCTGCAGCCTTGCAGCAGGTCTCGCCTTCCTGCAGGCATAAGACCCAGCGTCATGGCTCTCACTTCCTGATTTCCATCCCCAATTCCTGCAAGCTCTGCAAGAGGCGCAGCACACGTGCTCCTGGATAAAGGTCAAAGCTGGGCTCAACTGGACAACCCAGGCCTGCAGCATAAACACCATGTCACTAGGAAAAGGGCTGGCCCCTTCCAGCGCACCCCA